GACACATCTAATAATTAATAATAACGATAAGAATAACACAAATTATAAAATTGTTCTAATCGTTCATTTTTCCAACAATAACACAAACGTTTTCTCTGAGAGACAATAATTGCAAAAATAAAAAAACTTCAAGCAAAATTTATTGTTCCGCACATTATTATATATTAGTAATTGAAGCAAGCGCGTCTATTATATATATATATATATATAGAAAATCTTTGACCGTTTGAAAAAAAAATTAAGGCCAAAAATATGAAATCTATTTTTTTAACAAAAATGTCTAATGATGATCTAATGTCTAAAATTGAAAGTTTAAATGTTTTTTTTCTCTAATCAATCTCTTGATCAATGACAATAAAAATTCCTATAATCCGTTTCTACAAAGACACGAATTTTTCAACACTTCATCATCGCCATACATAACATCAGTCAACGACATACGCACACTTCTAGAGTTGAGATTCGCGTAATCTTCGTATTTCCACTTTAATCCCGGCTGCTCATTCTCCAAATAAAGTCCAATCTCTGTGCCAAATTTTCCCAAAATGGTATACCCAACACTTCCAAACGGATTGATGATATCCCTGACAGTTTCCGAGATGGCAGCATCATGATCTGTGGATTGTCCGAAGTAGAAGTAAGGGGGACCACGATTTTTTTGAAATGTGATTCGAATACTCTTCTCGAAGATTGCAATCAACTCGAAAATTATTTCGCGTAATGCGGCGACGAATGAGTCGAGTTTTAGGACGGCCGGATGTGGTGTGAGCGATGAAAAAGATCGTATTGATGATGCAGCGGTGAATGATATTGTGTCCGATTCGCGGGGAATCAGGGGAATTTGAAAGTAATCCATTTCATCTTCGAGCGATTCACGAGAAATTGGTATTTGATTGTGATGATGGTGAAGCGAGAGTGTAGTTGCGCAATTATTTGAGGAACTACGTTCATCGGGCCAATATATTTTTCCGGTGCGATAGAATTGAATAATGTACCAGAATAGATGACCATCTCGATCGATAAAATATTCATTGCCATTAGTGGGATGTAGTAGTGCACTGTTTCTTTCATGAAACATTATGCCGAGGAGAGTTGTCGGGAAGGCTGTTAACGTGCTACGATACGTTTCATACTATAGAAATGGAGGAGTTATTTTAATCAAATCATCGCAATGATGATAAATAAAATAAACCACCTACTTTTATTCCACCAACATTTAAGATTATTCGTTCCTCGCCAATTCCATTCATTACATTTCCTGTGCTAGCACCAGTAGTATTACTATGATTATTATAATTATTGCAGCTTGTGCTGTATCCGTTCATAACAATATTCTGTGCTGGCGTACTCGTATTATTAGTACTCGCTTTTAAGGTTGCCATTTAGTCTAAATCTAAGATTTATTTTATTCTCGTCGTCGTTAAGAATTGCCTTAATTTTTTTTTTTTGGTTTTATTTATTTTAATTAATCGTCGATTGCATTGTTTTCTTTTTATCCAGTTTTACGTTTCGCATCAGAATAAAATATATCTCTTCCGCCTCGGGTAATTGTTTATATCGTGTTAGAGGAACTTAGACAATACAGCAGCAAAACGACCAACCACTTCAAAAGTATTATAAGTCAATTGAGTATTAGCTCGTGGCGATAAATAGGGTGTCTCTGGTTGCACAATGTATTGAAAGATAAAGCCTCACAAATGAAGTATCAACCAAAAAAAAAACACGGCTTGTTTGATGCATTGTAGCCAAATAAACAACTATCCTCTTACAGCACAATAAACTAAAATTCACACAATTGTCTTTTTGTTTTTGTACTCAATCAATATTTGTGTATATTCCATATAGAGGAATAAGTCGGCAGCGGGGTGCATAAGGAGTTATTATCCAAAAAGGCTGTCAGTCAATCAATACAGTCATGCATTATTCATCACGTTATTATGACTTTGCAGCGATAAATGAATACAACATCAATATAATCACTGATAAAGAAGTTTATCATGGACCTAATTGAGAGGGTTATAACTTTTCATTTATGATGGAAAAACCTGAAGAAATCATCGTGTTAAATGTTGGCGGCATAAAGGTCTAATTAATGTTATTATTTTATTATTATTCTCTTTCAACTTACATGATTCAATTTATCGATTCAGTATGAAACATATCGCTCTACATTGACGGCTTATCCCGACACGTTACTGGGAACAATGTTCGCCGACCGAAATAGTTCCCTTATCAAACCTATAGCTGGGAATAACGAATATTTTATTGACCGTGATGGTCATCTATTTCGTTATATTTTACAATTCTATCGTACCGGAACTATTCACTGGCCAACATCCAAAGAATCTTCTTTTTTCTTATTCACAAAATCAGAACTCTATCAAGAACTTGACTTTTTTCAAATTCCATTCCCGCCTTCATCGTCCGATTCTCAACCACAATTATTAACTCAAACATTACCTTCTGAAAAAATCATATCCTTTCTCTATGCACTTCGCGACGTAATGCACGAATCAATAGCAAATTTTGAAACAGAAATAAGTTTTTCCTTCAAAGATGGATCCGACGAAAACAATTATTGGAATGATTATGTCGCCAAGAAACCATACGTAAAGATTGTGAAACCATTTGCTCGGGTCGCGTACTCTATCTTGGAGAGATTTGGCGAGGATATGGGAAAGTGGATGAAAAATTTGATGCCAGAAATAACGTTTAGAATGGAGAAACATCACATACCAACACCACCACCTCTGCTACGATCATCATCTATACATGACTCTAGGCCGGATCGGCGTTATTACAGGGTTTATTTAGCTGTAGATGATTATGATTTTGACCTAATTAGGAAAAAGGTTGATGCTGATATTTTTACCCATCGTGATAATTAACATGTGCGAGCTACATATCGATATCAAAATCGATGTTGCGGTCACGTGATAGTACGAATTTCGGTTAACGTCAAATTAGAGCCAGAGTTGGGGTTATACAACACACAAAATATAGTTATTCATAGCAAAATTTCACAAGGTTAGAACACAAAGATCATTTATCTTGCGATTTGATTTTGTTTATCCAATTAAAAATCACATGACTGCGCACTTCGATTATTGAACTTTTATTATTAATCCTACGAATTTGGCATTTATCATTTGAAGTAATTTTGCAAAGCGAAAGATTGATCTTATCGAATAAGAGAAACGCGCATGCAACTTATTGTAAAATTCGAGTTGTGCGGTTATATTTTATTTGATCGTTTCTACACAAATTGCAGTCGTCCCACTTTAGGTTCGGTCATAAAACTTTTGTTGTTCTTAGAGATGATTTTTTATGAGTTTAATAATAACTGCGTCTGAAGAAAGGTTTTAGAATGGGTGCAGCTACGTGTTTTTCCGCAACTTGGATCAAGCGACTTTAGATAAGTACAAAAACAAACTATATATACACTTCTTTGTAAGAACTAGTTTTTCTGGCCCAATTGTATTCTTAAGAAAAGTTTGAATTAAATAATTTACCATATAGAGGATATATCATTTTTCACATTTTATAAACATTTGAAGAATTTCTACGGTCAATCAGAACAGGGCATGATGCATTCATCACGTTTTTGCGCAAAATGTTCTTGCAGTGATAAATGTTTCAACTTACATGATTCAATTTATCGATTCAGTATGAAACATATCGCTCTTCATTAATGGCTTATTCCGATACTTTACTGGGAAATGTTCGCCGACCGAAATTGTTCACTTACCAAACCTATAGCTGGGAATAACGAATATTTTATTGATCGTGATAGTATTCATTTATCGCTGCAAAGTCATAATAACGTGATGAATAATGCATGACTGTATTGATTGTGATAGTCATCTATTTTGTTATATTTTACAATTCTATCGTACCAGAACTATTCACTGGCCAACACCCAAAGAATCTTCTTTCTTCTTATTCACAAAATCAGAACTTTATCAAGAACTTGACTTTTTTCAAATTCCATTTCCGTCTTCATCCTACCACCACAATCATCAATTGAAACATTATTCTCTGAAAAAATCATATCCTTTCTCCATGCACTTCGCGACGTAATGCACGAATCAATAGTAAAACTTTGAAACAAAAATAAGTTTTGCCTTCAAAAAGGATGAATCCAACAACAAAGATTATTTGAATAAAAAAGATGAATCCGACTATAACTATTATTGGAATGATTATATCGCCAAGAAACCTTACGTAATGATTGTGACACCATTTGCTTGGGTTGCATACTCTATCTTTGATAGATTTGGCTGGGATATGGAAAAGTGGATGGAAAATTTGATGCCAGAGATAAAGTTTAGAATGGAGCAACATCGTCAACTATCACCATATTTAGCACTTGATTCAGAAATTGACTCTGGATCGTATTATTACCGGGTTTATTGATCTGTAATTGATAATGATTATGATTTCGAGCTAATTAGGGAAAAGGTTATGACTACACATCGTGATAATTAACATGTGCGAACTACGTATACATAGTCAATCTGGATGTAACGAATGCACTATGTAGCGAATACTAATTAAGCTCGGGATATAGTGAATTTGAGTTCCAGGTCCATTTACAATCAAAATCTTTGGATATAATGAATTTTTTTACCAATAGACCATGTATTATTATAACGTCTACGTAATGTCTAAATTTGGCATTTATTATTCGGATTAAATTCACGTATTTTTGCAAAGCGAAAGATTGATCTTATCGAATAAGAGAAACGAGCATGCAACCTATTGTAAAGTTTTTTGAGTAAAATTCTGCTTTTTTGCGGTTATATTTATTTGATCGTTTCTACACAAATTTGCGGTCGTCCCTCTTATGTTCGGTCATAAACTTTTTGTAAGAGGTTGTTCTTAGAGATGTTTTTTGTGAGTTTAATAACAACTGCTTCTGAAGAAAGGTTCTTATAAGGGAGACAGTTGCGTGTTTTTCCGCAACTTGGATTAAGTGACTTTAGATACAGTCTAAACTCCTTATAAGAACACGGTAAAAGAACAATATATACTTCTTTGTAAGAACTAGATTTTCTGACCCAATTGTATTTCTTATGAGGGGTTTGGTTGTATTTGAATTAACATTTAGAAGGTATATTATTTTTCACACTACGAATGCTACGCGTATACGTAAATCCAACAATGAGATTCAGAGTATTACCAGTCAAAAGGTCACTGAGTTTCTAGAGGTTGAAAATACTGAGATCACGTTGGTACAGTAAAATTTTTAGTTATTGTCCAAGGAAATTAGTAAATTAAGAACGATTTCATATACTGTCTATTTACCAAACGTGCACTTCTATTATTATTGCTTAAGCTAATGTTTGGTTAAAATTATAAAAATAAATCTAGATACTGTGTTTATCGTACTTTTAAGTTACCGTTCAGTCAATAGAACGGGACATCATTGTTCTTGCGAAAAACAGACTTTTTTTATGACAAAACGAAAGCACATTTTGTAAGCTAAATTTCTTGACGGTTTATACATACATAAACTTTAACAAATAATGCCATCAAAGAAAATATTAACGAAAAAACATTAAAATGATGGTTTGGGCTTGGATATTTTTTTAATTAGTTTTTTTAATTGATTCACCATTAAATATATACATATATCGATATGTTGTCAACTTGCATCAGATGTCGTTTTTACGTGATCCTGCACTAGCCTTAACTTTAATAGTACCCTATTCTAATTTGGGCCAAGCGACACCTGACGCAAGAAGCCCAAAATATATACAGTATGAAAGAAATCCGGCTGAAATTTTTTTTATTGTTATGGCGTGCATAACGGCATCGATATAACGATATCGATATAACGATATTGATATTTTCTCTACATACATATTAATCACTCGTTCTGACTAAAGACATGACAGAATCTGAAACATTAGATTTCCTCCGACCGATTACTTCTTGCATACTTGCTGTCTGATGATCAATACCTTCACGGGATCTCATATCAATATTCAAAACAACGAATTCGTTTGTCTAATCTGAATCTTTTATTACGATGCAACAAAAAGCATTCGAGATATATATACTAATCGGTATGCAATATTTTGTGGATGGCAGCCCACAATTATCTTAAGCCAGGAAGTAAAATGAAATCGTTAATTCAAAGATATAAACTTGCCTTGTCACAGAATCAAGTTGGTTGATGTACGGAAATAAATAAGTGGCTGTGTGAAGTTGAAATTAAAAGTGCGGTGAATTTGAGTTAAAATTCTTTTTTAGGATATTCACATGTGTGTGATATTAAAAAGTCATTCGTTCTGAGATTTTAGAAATTATACGTTATTTCTAATATTACCTTCATAGAAGGATTTCTAATTAACTTTATCTTTCAGAAATTTATATGATCCTTATCATCAGTTTGATTCTTAGTCACCCAATTGTTTTTGCACTTCTTATCACCCAAACAAATCTTGAAAAAGAGAACTATTCTAATTGAAAATCAGCAAGCAATTCATTCATCCTGAGCAAATTAAAGTTTTTTCTTTTATACATATCGATATCGATATTGAATTAGAAAATATCACAATATTTGTTATCTAATTTAATCAAAGATATTCTATTACATGTATTTACATATGTAACTTTACGATAAATATTTTCATGTACGTAACATTACCAAAAAGAATTATCCTTGAGTCGACGCTCACTCACAAGTTTTCTATCATGCAGTAAATGTTCAATGAATTCTTCCTTCCTTCTTTCGTCAACAGATAGGTATTAAAGAAACATTATCGCAAAAATTTTACGAAATCTGATATGCTATCGTAGTAAAAAAGCACATGCCATTCGCATATGAACTTGAACTTTAATGAGAAAGCGAATGATAGTACTGCAACACAATGATCACGCGAACTCATTTTTAGCCCTTACAACGATTCTGTTAGTCTGGGAATATAAGGAGTGTTTTTGTAACATACGTACAGATTCCAAAAAATTAAATGATAAAACATCCCATTGTCATCCTTGCATTTTTTTTTATTAGAAACAATTAATTCACACAAAATAACAGTTCAATTAAAGGATTTTCCCACACTATAAAAAGTAACGTTCGTCATTTTCTTCATTATCATCCGTATAAGTTACTTGCGCTTAAAAGCCTGGCTTTCTTTTGTAGGTATTTTGAATTCTAAATTTGATTGAAGCAAATTTTTAGAATTTTTAGTTATCATACGTTATATATCCCATTTCTATTATTATGACGCGAATCTTACATGATTTTATATCCTATCAAAATCATAAAACGATAAATAATAATAGTAACAACAGCAATAACCGCGACAACAATAGCAACAGCAACAGCAACAACAACAACAACAACAACAACAATAATAAGCGTAAGATGATAGAAATCAATAATAATAATATAATTAGAGGAAGCGGCAGCAACGATTCAAACGGTATCACAAATCGAAATTGCTACAACAAAAATATAATAGATCTCGGTGAACGAATCGTGTTGAATGTTGGTGGGATTAAGGTATTGTATGTTTAGTTGTTAGCTTTTATTTCCAAATCAGATTTTTTTCTTGTCTCTAATTCGAAAAAATTCAATAGTATGAAACCTACCGATCGACGTTAACAGCTTATCCAGACACTTTATTGGGAACAATGTTTGCTGAACGCAATAAAGCTCTTCTTCACCAAACAAACAATAATGAATATTTCATTGATAGAAATGGTCACGCATTTTATTATATTCTTGAATTCTATCGAACTGGAAAAATTCTGTGGCGTGAAAATCCAAATACATTTATGTTTCCACCTTCCAAAGTATCTCATTCGTCCTCTTTATTGTCAGATACTTCTTCCTCGTCTCCCTCCTCCTCGCCACCGAAATCAATACCCCTCACACCATCAATCACAACCCCAATACCACGCGTGACACGTCAAGAATTAGCCGAAGAAATGCATTACTTTCAACTCCCAGTTAAAAGCATTTACACATCCCTTCCAAATCGCGCCGCTGCCGCAAAAGTAGATTCCTTTATCCACGCACTGCAATCCGTAATCTATCATCTTACTTCCGAATTTACAGCAAAAATACAGATCGATTTTCGTCGTATCAAACAACCGCCACACGTGAAAATCGAGAATAATTCATCGGCCGAGTTATACGAGTGCGTGAATGCCATTGTGAAACCATATGGTGCAGTCGGATACAAGATTTTGGAAAAATTTGGCGCAGAGATTGGTAGCTATTTGATGGGTATGGTGCCAGAATTGAAATGGGAATTGAAACACGTTGACAATTATAATTGGTATTCGTTGGTGATGTGTGTAGAGGATGAATCGTTTGATTTTGACGGAATTCGTGAGAGTACGTGTTTGGCGGATTGTATAAACGTTAAAACCGCCCCTTTATTAGAATTTTAAGCTGGAACCCATTGAATTTGATAGAGTCGATTTTTAGAGCAAAAGTATCTTCACTTTTTATACTATAGATTAAAAACATTTTAGATCATATTTTTTACTGATAATAATTAATTAATAATAACAAAATAGGAAATTGGGCCAAGTTCGAAGCTTAGTTTATTTTGTAACATATTGCTTTTTACTATTTCGTTTAACAGCTAACTCAGCTACCTCTAGCTAGTAATGAGAATGAAAATAAATTCTCATAGAAATTTATTTTTTAAATGAGTTGTAATGCACTTTATCTTTGATAAAAATTTAATTATCAAGAAGTAATATGTCAAAATTCTTTTTTTAATTTTATTATATAGATAATAAAAATTTTTTAATCAATTTATGAGAAGTTTTAATTATAAATTAAATTAATATAATATAATATAGATTTTAATATTATATTAGTTATTCAAGTTAATTGAAAGTATGCTAAAAATTTTAAGAATTAATTTACAAGTTTAATATAAATTTTTTTAATAAAATATTATTATTTAAGAGAAATGATATATATTATCTTACCAAAAATATTTTTCTTTTTTCTCTTTTGAAATATTATATATATGATTTATAATATTATAATTTATTAAGATCTGATTCTTTATATTCTAAATTATATTTAGAATTTTTAGTTTTTAAAAATTCAAATTGATAATTTATTATAGTTTTAATTTTAATAAGTTTATTATTATTAAAATTATAATAAAATTATAAATTAATTATTAATAAAAAATTTAATTTAATATTTTAAGATTTTTAAATTTAATATATATATAAAGTTAATAATAAAAAATCTAAAAATAATTATTATTTAAGAGTGAATTTATTTGTTATTATTAGTAATAGTTATTAATATTATATATATATATATATATTTATTTATTTATTTATTTAGATCTCTTTATAGTTATTATACTTAAAAAAGCAAATTAAATAACTAAAAAGAAATATAATTATAGAGAGATCTAACTGTATTTTTATTATATAATATATTATTATATCTAATAAAGAATAATTAATAAAAATATAAAGTATAATATAATCAAATCTCTTTATAGTTATTATATTTAAAAAAGTAAATAAAAAGAAATATAATTATAAAAGAACTTTTATAATTATAATTAATTAATAGCTAGAAAACTTAAAAAAATAATTATAAAAAAAGATAATTATAAAAAGATATAATTATAGAGAGATTTATTAATAAAAATTAGATTTTTTATATATTATTTTTAATATTTTAGATATTTTTTTATATTTATAAGTATCTAAAATATTATAAAATTTATATAATAAATTTTTAAATATTAATATAAATAAATTTTTAACTTATTCTAAATATCTTTTTATAATTTTTAATAATACTTTAAAAAGAATAAATTTATTTAATCTTTAAATATTTTTTATATATATAAAAAATTATATAAATAATATTATTATTTTTAATAAATATTTTTATATTTTTTAATATTTTTTAAATATATTTAGTTATTAATTTTTATATATAATTATCAAGATTAATTTCTGAATAAATTTAAATATATTTATTCAAAATCTATATAAATAAATTACTAATAAATTTTTATTCAAACTATTTAAAATATAGATATAAAATATATTTTATTTATTAATTTATCTAAATTCTTTTTCTATTTTAATAAAAAATTCTTATTATTATAATATAAATAAATTTTTTAATTATAATATTTTATTTAAAATATATTTTTTTATTAAAAATATATATATATATTATAATTTTTTTATTATATAAAATATATTTAACAAAAAATTATATAAAAATTAAGTTAAAAATAAATAAATTTTATTTATTATATAAATTTATATTTATTTTATCTTAATAAAATAAAGTTAAGAAAATATAAAACAGAAAAAAAAGATTTTTAAATTATTATATAAATTATTAATATATAAATAATACTTAAAAAAAATAATTATAATACTTCTGAAAAATATTTATTATTGATTAAATATATAAAATAAATAATTATAAATTAACTAAATATAATAAATAAAAAATAAAAGAAATTTTATTTAAAAAATAATTAATAATTAAATTATTTTTATATAAGAGTTATTAAAAGTTTTTAAATATTTTTTCAAAATAAAAATTTTTATTTATTTTAATTTTCTAAAAAGTAATTTTTATATTTTATTTTTCTTATATATTATAATAAGAAATAAGAAGTTAACTTTAAAATAATATAGTATTATATTTTATTATTATAAATATAAAATTTATATTATCAAATTTTAAATTTAATTTAATAATAATTTATAATATATTAAAATAATATACTAAAACTAATTTTATCAATTCTAAATCTTATTTAAAATAATTATATTTAATTAGTATTATCTAATAAAAATAACTTAAATAATTAATAATAAAAAATTAATAATTATATTTTTAAAGTAAAAGAATTTTGAAAAAAAATAAATTAAAATATTTTTATATTAATAATTTATTATAATTTTTATTCACTTGAATTAAAAATTTATATTATATAATATAAATATCTTATAAATAAGATAATATATTTTATATAATATTTAGAATATAAAAGCTAAATAAAAAAAAATAAATAAAAATTTTATAAAAAAATAAATTAATTTTTAATTAATTTTAATAAAATTATATTATTAAAAATATAAAAAGAATCATAAAATAAATATTTCTTTATATTTTAACTATAATAAAATATAGTCTAAGCTATAGATACTAAAATTACTTTTTATAATAAAGAATAGAACTAATTATACTATTATATAAATTAATAACTAGAGTTATATATATTAAAATATTATACAAGTATATATAGTGGTGACCAAAAGTAATAACTCAGAGGCTAAATTTATTAATAAAACATAATGAAAATTGAAAGTTTCTCTCTATATTAAAATTTATAATTTTAATAAAAAATAATTTTTATTTTTATATTAAAATAAAGTTTATTAGTTGTAGTTTAATATATATTTTTTTCAGATTTTTTAGAT